ACATCTTTATGCTACATACTGTTTGTAAATATATTTACAAATACTTAATTTTTCTTCCTCCAAAAAAGAGTGATATTATCGATTACTTTATAAGAATTAATATGACGTTATAATCGTCGCATCAATATTTATCAACATAAACAAATGTTTGTTAATATGTATGTACTAAATTCAACATATTGATAATTTTTTAATTATGTGAAAGTAAGATTTGAGGTACATACATATTCCAGCATTTCAAAATATCTTTATAAAGAAGCAACTCTTGATGCACTGTCACTTTATACTTTCATTAAACCGACACTGACTATGAATAGATATTCTGTTTGTTTAAAATAATTCGTGATTGTAAGAGTTAAAAATATATATTATATTTCTAATATCTATTTACCAATCCGTAAATAATTGTTATGGTAATAAAACTTCAAGGATAAAAGAAAAATAATATTCCACATGATTTACTCATAGTACACAACAAGTTCAGAGTCAATCAAAAGTTTGAATCGAAAGTTAAGTACTTACTGGTTAATGTTACGTTTGTTGGAGAGGAGCCAGGATGCCGGAAGGTATCAACTTGCCAGTGCCAAGAGTTGATGTATGAGGCGGTTGCTAAAAGTTATTATCTCGTATAATATATGTGGTGTTCATTAAAGTATCGTACGACGCGTTTGTGTTTCTGTAAGTCTATTTATGTGTATTTTTATGTAAACCATTTTTTACTATAACCCACTTCCTTGGGAACCTAATTTGAAATATAAAATATTAACAAAATACAAAATGGTTAATACATACATATAAGCATGGATATTCCCACACTCGAAATAAAAAACAATATGTTATCGTAACCACTGCTAACAAGCATTTTTTTTTAATCAGACGAAATCATGTCAATTTCTCTTTGATTTAAATATACAGTTAATGTATGAAATGCAATATTCTATACATACATTACTTACTTATACGTTATTAGAATAACTTTATAAAAGAGCTGTTAATAATTAATTAATTTTTATTATATGACAGCATAAACTTTTATGTAAGTAATTATATAATTACATGGATGTGCACCCACCTCTCTTCTTCTACCTGGCAATTTCTCAGCTATAGCCAGGGTCTGCATTATATGTTAGTTATTGGTTTTTACGACCGGCCGCCTGCCGCCTGCCTCACATCAGCCCTCTTTGGGAATCAACATTAATCAGTGATGTCTAAATACTCTTAGAAAGTACATATGACTCAGAGAAATCACATTGGTACTTGCCCGGGCCAAGATCGAACCCCGCGCCCTCGAGCTTGAGAGGCGGGCATTTTAACCACTAGGCCACCACTGACTGATCACTGATGTGCACCCACCTATTACATACTAATTAGTTAATAGTATAATTTTATTGAAAACGTTCCATAAAAAACAAAGCCGTCATCTGAAAATATTTATCTCTGAATATATCGGTCTGTTTCTTCTACTTAAAAAGTAATTTACCGTAGTTATGAACATGCTTTATCGACAGGTCTGTGCGTACTTCGTACACGAGACTTTTTTATTGTCAACAGATTGTTCATTTTGATTGCATTTTTAATCGAGGAGTATGAAACATTCAGGTTTTATTAATACTTCGAGCTATCGTTTCTCTAGAATCTGTATTTTTAATCTCATCACTTTATAGCTAGTGAAAATTTCTTTACTAACTGTAACTTAATTGTAGCTTCCAAGTGTCTTATCGATAATAGTTATATGGAGGTATAATGCCTTGACTCTAGTCCTTAAATGACGAGTAAGTATTCAATTTTTTAAAACTGTAATACCGGATATATCAACTAGTCTCTCAAGGAGTCCCTTAAATAAGCTTTTTCTGTTACGGGAACAAAACTTATAAAATCTTATATTTAAGCCAAAAGTTGCCGTGTTGACTAAAAACCTAATAGTTTGTATCAAAAATTAATACATTTCTTAAAACTTTCTTAATTATGCGATTTCAAGAAAACACTTTTAAAGATTAATATAGAATAAAAATAAAGGTCGGACGTTTACTATGAACATCGTAAAATGTGTAGCTAGACACATATATAAATAGAGGATTCAAAGCCTTGGTACGTTCATGTTGTTTATATGTGCTATTAAATTAATTAAGAAAAAGTCATATAACTTTTTAGACGGGAACTAAATTGTTGAATCTCCCATTTATGATATAAAAAAGTAGATGAAATAAGACATTAAATATAATATATTGTTTTCTTTATAATGAACCCGATTAACTGCTTAACTTTTAATAAAACCTATGTGAAAGCTCACGTAAAGTTAAAATAAAGTAAATTATACGTATTAGGAAGCCAATCTGAAATTTAAAAATAGATTCTTTAGAACCGCACTGTTGCTTCCTTTTAAGTTGAAATTTTTGTTTTCTGTTTTTTTCGTAATAATCGGTAAACTTCAAAATTGTGTGGACTTCTAAGCTTTTGTAAATAGAATAGTAGTAAATGGACTTCTAAGCTTTTCTAAACTTTAGTAAAACTGAGTTCTATTTGTGAAACAACTCTTAGTGACTTGCTTAATTATCAGTCTCCTTTTGTTTGCGATGTCCTCGCAGTGTATAAAAATTAAATAATTAAATTAAATAGAACAGAAAAGGTATCATGTTTACATTACTAAAAATTTCGTTTAGAATCTCAGGGTGATGGATTAACTGTAAGTTGTAATTAATAATTCGGATTTTAATTTAATTTCGAGTTTGTTGAAGTCAAGTGTGAGTATAAAATCACAACAAGTAGATGATTTTGTTATAATTTAATTACCTGGAAGTGTTTATATCCTAAAGCATTTTGTATTGTTTGACTAATCTTTTTTGAATTATCAATTCTTTAGTATACTCTGGAATCCGAATTTACAGCAACTGTAACGTGTATGTTTAGTTAATTAATTTTTCAAAAACTAAAATTATATATTTCCAATTAACCATGTTGAGAAAAAATTAAAAATGTTTCGCTTTTTGATTATTTAAATAACACTTCTTAAAAAATATGTAGGTATAAACTTATTAATAAAAGAACTTTCGAGTCGTTATTCTAAAATGTATCATTTTTTTTCAAAAAGCTCTATTAAAATCATTTTCGGTAAAAGAAAATAGGAAGAAAAAGCGTTTTAGTGAAGCATAATAATATATTTTACTTTTTATTGTTAACTTTATGAAAGTTTCAGCTTGCATTTCAGATATATTGTAATTTTATCAAATTTCTAATTATATGACTCCTGAAAATTAGATTTTGCTATAATTGAAAGAAAACAGAAATTTTTAATATCAAGATTTCTCAAATATAAATAATGTATGATTTTTATTACAATTTTCAAATTGCACTCCTTTTATTACAATGAAATAACGAATATTATTATTTTTCAAATTACAACGCGTTAGCTTCATTTGAAACAACTAATACTATAAATGCGAAAGTAACTTTGTCTGTCTATCTGTTACGCATTCACGCTTAAACCACTGAACTGATTTCAATGAAATTTGGTATACAACATGTAACGTAATTAACGCACACCCTCAAACACCCCAATTAGAATATAATAATATAAACGCAATGCATACACCAAATATTATTTATATGTGCGTTAGCATTTTTTATTTGTGAAATTAGTTATCCCAATTTCGTGCAAATAATATGGTCAGCTATTCACCAACACTCCGCTACACACGCACGCACAGACAGACACAATGTACTCGCCGCGCCCGCGCCCCTCTGTCCGAGTGCCGTCCGACAATAATAAGAAGTACGTAATAATAAATAGGTACACGAAATAACATATGATTTATGATTTTTCTTTCCATCACACTTTTCAAGCTTTAGATAGTTGACATTAAATTTTCTTTTTAATGTGAAGCCAATATTTTATAATTACTGATTTGTTAAATTAAATTTGTAAATAAGAATTATTAAACAGCTGATAACGCGTGATTTGATTAGACACCACAATACCTACAACAAAGTCGGCGTGTTTAAATGGTGTTGATCAAAATATTAACAATAATTTAAAGATTATAAACAAACTTAGTTTAATTTGCACTCGCACGGCGTTGTCGTTTTAAAACATTTTCAAAATGTCCACCGCCTTGTTCAATGCACTTTAATAACCGTTTTCGTAGTTGTGGTTTTATTTAAGATAATACTGCAGTGTCACTTTTCACTTATACAAAGACGGTTATTATCTTATTTTTTAGTTCCTTGACACTTATTGTCTCTGTTTTATAAACTAACAATTTAATTCGCCCCCACAAAAAAAGTCGAGTGGCGTCAAATCAGCTGATCTAGGAGGTCAATGGACACGTGCGTAGGTATTTGATGTGTGCCGGCTGTCACTGTGCGTGCGTTGATAATATTTGTAAAATACATACTATTTTAGCCTTAAAACAAGTGTCAGTTTTCTTTAATTGAATGATGATTACTAATTTAATATTTCATTTTAAAAATCTTAATTCTCTGACTTACGATCCATTTTCGTTTCAATGAAGTGCTTAGATAACTGTGTGTAGGATGACTGTAGTTTACTTAGTTCTATCTAAATTTGAGAAAAAAAATGACCTACCTAAAAACTATAAAAATCGATCCAGATACCGATTCTGAACAAACTACTTTCAGGGTGTGCGTTAATTATGTTACATGTTGTAGAGATAGAATTGTCCTTGAAAAAGAACATAGGATAATCTTTATCCCAGACTTTTGAAAACGCGATATAACCGAACTCGACGAGAGCGAAGCCATGGGCAGAAAGCTAGTTTGAAATAACTTTAGTCTCTACAAAACATTCATTCAAAAATATAAGAAAGTCATTTAATATTATTGACCTACTATGACCTAAAGAATTGACAATTTGTTCACAACTACAAGGTCGTTTATTAGACAAGTTACTGGTAGCCGCAGGCGGTGATATAGATACTATAAAAATATAAAGCAAAAGAAACTACATCATTCAGTAATCTGTTGCTAATACAACAATATTAAAAATGTTCTCTCGTGTAAGTTAGTTACATAAGTGAATTTAAAATAACACAGTGTATTTGTAAAACAGTCTATAATATTACCTTTTTCTTATAGTTGGTAGCTCTCTGCGCTGTCGTGGCGGTGTCGTCAGCTGGTCTCCTGCCAGCAGCCGTACACTACTCCCCAGCCTCCGCCGTCTCCTCTCAGAGCATCGTACGTCATGACCAGTCTCAAGCACATGTCGCCAAATTAGCCGTTGCTGCTCCAGTCGCCTACCATTCTGCTCCCGTCGCCTACCACGCTGCCCCTGCCCCAGTTGTCTACCAGTCTGCCCCTGCCCCAGTTGCCTACCACGCTGCTCCCGCCCCAGTTGTCTACCACTCTGCCCCAGCCCCGGTTGCGTACCACGCTGCCCCAGTCGCCTACCACGCTGCCCCCGTCGCTAAACTTGTAGCTCAACCCGAAGAAGTTGTAAGTTGACTATAACACTAATTTGCTATAATGGTGTCAAAATGAGAACAAATTATTCATAACAACAATTTTCAGGCCTACCCCAAATACGAGTACTCTTACTCCGTTGCTGACGGACACAGTGGAGACAACAAACAACAACAGGAGTCCCGCGACGGTGATGTTGTGAAGGGATCCTACTCATTCCATGAAGCTGACGGCTCCATCAGGTCTGTTGAATACAGCGCTGACGACAAGAACGGTTTCAACGCAGTAGTACACAACTCCGCTCCCACCGCCGCGCCCGCCCTCATCAAGGCTGCCCCACTTGTACTCAAGGCTCCCGTCTACGCTGCCCCTGTACACCAATACTACCATCACTAAATACATATATTAGTAATATTAATATTACTGTGTATATAGTAATTTATGGAAAATAGCAATAAATTTTGATGAAATAAACAGTTTATATTTAATTGATCGTCAAAAATACAAGAAACTATTATTCTTATAATAACCTTACATTGTTGACCTTAATCTGTAGACGACTATAATGCCAATAATAACATTTTTGCGTTTCTGACTTTCAAGAGCCTTAACTTCTCTCTTGAAGAACATACTGCTAATAACCCATAACCATTTTAGAAACCTCAGCAGTTGTCAGAATTGGATTACCCGCTAACTGTGAGTGGTGTAGTAGTAAGACTTGTAGTATTTACGCATACGGGAAGGAAACGAACGATAGACCTTATCAGGCCTTCTCAAAAACATCTCGCTGGGATTTTATAAAACATATTTCGTAATATTTATATTTTCTCAACAGAAAACTAAAGTACAAGAAAATATGAAGAATAAAATAATACTTGCTGTAGTTCATATTTATCATATTTTTTGCCGAAAACACAATAAATAATTGAATTTCCTATATATAATCCATACAAAATACGTACTTTTAAAATAAATGAAACTTTATGACTTAACTTATAAGTCACATAATTGTGATATACATATAATACTATTCCAAAAAATCGTAGAAGTAAAATTTAGTTCAACATCACAATTTTTAATGTAAGTTAATTTCCTCATACTTATTTTATTTTTTATTCTAATCTTATAAAATTTATCATACACATACTTCTACAAGGTGACAAAATTTAGAGTGAAAATATGTCTTAATTTTTATTTGACAATCTGCATTAATTTACTATTTTTTTTTTTTTAAATTTAAGAGATCTCTCCATGTAGTAAAAAAGGGAAAAAAGTTGTTCTTCGTTTAAATACAGACAATTGTTCTAGAAGATAATCTTACTAAATGGTTTGAACATTATTTATATTCAAAATTAGTAGAGAATTCAATATCAAAAAGAAATATTGTGTTCCTTTACTAGTTACTTAATACAAAAGTCGGTTTAACAAAATAATAAAAATAATAGCAACCTTAATTTGGTACAGTTACTGTGGTCGGGAAATTTTAGAGATATTAACATTTTAAATGAGGCATGTACCTTTAATATTACTCCATGCTTTTTGCTGTTTAAATCATTTCTCATTTTCAATGTGCAAATTGTTCTACAAATACGCTTGTTCATATTCCTCACAATTATAATTGGACTGGGGCCTGAATTTATCTTTATTGTTTTCAATGTTAAACACCAGTTGCGGTCATAATAACATTTACAAGATATCTATAATTTTAATTAACATCAAAAGTAAATTTAATAAAATGCTGTAAGAATAAAGTTTTCATTGTTAAATTTTAAATTATATTTCATAAAAATTTTAATAGTGACCTCTTAGATATACAAATATCATACACAAGTTTATCCCGCAAGATTATCCTGTAATGTCCTTCTTAACTAATTTAATAATCAATTAAATTATTTGTGAAATATTCCTTAATTTATTTTTATTTTAAAATATCAATTTAAGTTAAGAACTTATTTATATATGCAATCAATATGTCCATAGCAGAAACACGAAATAATTACATCAGCTGTCGTTAAAGGTATAATTCTATTATTTAATATTTTGTTAATATGTAGTGTAAGGAATGAAAGATCCTGGCCAGGTCGCGGGTGTAAGCGCAATGATGTACCGCGGCCAGGCTCGGAGCAGGAGTAGGTACGGGGGGTTTTTAGTCAGTAAGAGTCTGACACTCCCTCTTGCCCCACCCAGGCAAGAGGGGTCATTTGATGATTTTCCCCTTTAAAAAAAAAAAAAAAAAAAAAAAAAAAAATGAAAGATAAAGACGTAACCACATTTATGGTTCTGTTCGAGTAATATTAGAAATCTCTGTTGGTACTGAGAAGCATCTGAACGGTTTAGATAAAATTTTATACTTACTGAAACTCTGACTATGAATTTAATTTAAGAAGTATTGAAACAAATCGTTTTTAGATATTCAATATCGAATGTCAGCCAGCCTTCAAATGTACATAGTTCTTAGCTGTCCAAATGAACTTATTCGGAACACTTGTTGCTGATATATATAGATAAAGTGAATAGCTTCGTAAAATTTCAAAGAAAAAACATTATTTAGAATTTTATCTTAATTATTACTAAACATTGGATTCTTAAAATCTAAATGAAGAAAAATATACTTCAAATAAAACAATTTCATAACAACTGTTATGGACATATTAAAATCTTTTATTCATCAAGAAGAGAATGCTAACTACAAGATCCTTGCAATTTAAGCAGTTGGAAATAATAAGCTTTTACTGGTGAGATCCAGGGAACTCATGGATTAGCGGTCCTGGAACCATCATTTATTTATTCATTTCATATTCATTCATATAGGATAATTAGTATTTAAGACAACGACGACGAAAATAAAACGCTTTAATATCTTTAGAGACCTAGCCCACAATATTTACATGTGATAGGTACTTAAAGCATTTACTGAAATATAAAAAAAATATTTACATAATACGTAGTCAAACAATCTTAATGGAAAAAAGACGATCACTTTCAAGAAGAAAACACAGACAGATCAGAATTATAAATAGATTATCTTTATATTAATTAATCAAGTTTTATCTAATTACTTAATAAGATTGTTTTAATCAGAGTGACGATAACCGTACGCGAAAATTTCATTAGATCTAATTAAGACTACAATTACTGTGTTACTTTTTATGCTATATAATAGATTGTGACTGTTCTCCATAGATTTTAGCAACACAACGTTATATATGTATATATATAAATGCTTATAACGTCGATTGTATCCCTAGGAAAGCTTAGGATGACTGTGGAAAGACATGTTTATCGTATGTCTTTTATAACTCCAATAGCCACAACTACTACTAATATTAATATCACATCCTTCCTTCTAAAATAAAGCAGTATAAAATATTTTTAACTTATTTATTTATATATTATTTCTTATGTTTTTTATTACTGTTACAAATGTTTTAAGTAACCGATTTTTTTTATACACACGCTTGAAAAGATCTCGTAAAAGAAACAGCGCATTTCCTTTGTTTCTGAAACATGTTTTAATTCGGTGTTAATTAAGAACAAAATATAATATTTCACGATTTATTTCATTTTTATTAAGTTTTTTTTTCTTACCTCTTAAAAATATTAACCTATTAAAAATTTCCATTAGTGAAATTACTACATATAACTACCTGTCTTTTTTTGTTAAATCCTTTTTTTCAACAATTACATATAATAGTCGAAAAACTTATAACATTCCAATAAGTTTTTTCAACAATTCGTTATTTCTAAATAAAAATTAAGACAATGGCTCTGTTACTTCTAATTAGACCAAAGATTTATTTTATCTCACCGGACGTAATTAATTTTACGGTTGTCCTAGCTCTTCGTCACAAGGAGCACTTAAATAGAAAACTTTATGAGCTTACGAAAATTAGAAAATATAACCGTAACATGAACCACGATTATATATATTTAAATACATATAAAAGACTTTAAATAAGACAACGGCTAACGCAAAACATTCAGTCTATCACAAATAATATATTCAACCAATTAAACACAATATTTTTGAAGTATTGATTAACAATAACTACGACATTTCAATTTATATTGGTTGATTTTATTCAACAATGAGATATGAAGCTATATCTGTATATAAAGAAGTCACCAGTGCCGTATCGTATAGAGCTTTGTTATCAGTGTAATGATTTTTCCACCTCTGAGAAATGAGTTTCGCACGATAATAAGTCACTTGATGTATTGTCACCAGCGCGTTTCAATTTAATTACGATTCTATTGTCACTGAGATATTGTTAGCAGAGAATGTGTTCGGTTACCGCATTTCTGTCTCCACCTGCTGGTGGAGTTGCTCAGTTTAACGAGTTCACACTCACGTATTGTACTGATTAATAGAAAATGTTACAAATAATACTAAGGTATGTTCAATTTCTAGTTACCTTGTATGAAGGGTTCTGATTAAATCTGAGACATTATAAAATTGGGAATCATTATAAATTTAATTCATTTTTGAATTCATATATAAATCCTGAATTTTTTTTTTAATTATTCAAGTTTTGTCCAGTATTAACTTTGTTGAATGTTGATTTGTCTTTCAATAATTAAAGAAGTAAATAATAGTATATTATTAACAAATTTCTCATTTCCAAAACCTTATATAATTTTATTACTAAACTGAATTAGAAGCAAGAATTATTTAATTTAAAGTTATTTCCTTCACATTTATATTATTTACAAATAATTTAAACAAGAAGTATGTATTACATACAAAAAAATAATATTACTTCTAATACATACATTTATATACAAAAGATAAATTAATTTAATTTCCATGATGCTGCAGACATTTAAAAAGCCCCCAATTTTTCATGATGGTCGCAAATAACAACCAGCAAACCTAACAATTTCAAGCCAATAAAAGTGATTTAAGAAGGCATTTAAGTGATTTCTTACTTGCATTATATACATTGCTATATTTTATTATAGCATAGTGTTAAACGTTTGATAAAAATGATAAAAAAAGATTTTTGTCAACTGGTAGTTTCCCTACTATTAATTTTAATTAGTTCTATATTACTATATTTGATTGTCAATACCATCTCTGCGGTGATATATTGGAGCAAACTGATGTCATTTCCATCAACCATGAGATAGCAATAATCAACTCAAGCCTAAACACTCGTACCATCTCAATCTGACCACACAATTACTATATAAATATTAAACCGGTCAAATCACTAATCTCGGGTGTTAATTATGAATAGATCTCGACAATTACCAATAAATTGTAAAAAAAATTACCGAAGGTGTTAAAACAATTTTGTAACTTATAATCTAAGTGTAAAAATATTGCGACTATTTTCGAATATTAATATAAAGGAGGTGTCTCTGTTTTTTTTTCTATTCTACACACGCTTTTT